ATTGCACACATGTATCGCTGATTGGCCAATATAAAAATAAAATAATCTCATTGGCAAAACAGTGAAAAATTACTAGACACCAGTTGATATGAGTGGTGTGTACAATCAGAACTGTAGGCAAACGGGATCCTCCCTTCTCTCGGTTGTAACTTTTTCTCTTTTTCTACTTTATTGTATACGGTCTGTTCTTTTTCCACTGTAAGTTCTGAACTGGTTGTACACTGATGTAATAAGTTCAGAACCTTCGAAAAATAATAGTCCTACACAATATACATTATATTTGAAACAGAAAATAAAATAGAAATGAAACATAATATACATTTATTTATCAGGAAATATAAGGAGATTCGTACTTATAACTTAACCTTTTTTTATGTGCAATGATAGTCAAAGTTACAAAATATAAACGCAATAAGAGAACTAATAATAATAAAACAATCCGTTTTTTTTAACTGATCGATATTATTTAACCTCCAATTTAAAATATTCTTCCTTTACTGTTAAAAAATTCTGGTAAACACTTTATTATTTCTCACGTATCACTTTATTATTTCTCATATAATATATACCACTCCTGTCACTTTCCGTTAAATGGCCATTTAAATCCCTTATATGAACATTTCAACAGTGCAGATAGATAGCGACAATAAAGAGAAGAAGCAAGATGGAATATCAATGCCCTGATTGGTTACATACCTCGCTCACGCATGTGCAGTTCATTTTTATCCACGGTGAAATCGTGAGAGTTGCGCTACTGTATATACTGTAGTTCTAGGCCGTGGTCCGAATCATGCTGACAACGCTCATGAGCATTGTTTGTCTTCGTTTAACATTTGACAAACGACAAGGATGAAATGATTTTTAAGCGTTATGAGCGTGTATCGGACCGAGGCCCTAGACAGCCCCCTCAGGATGATGTCCCATGCGGCGTAACTTGCGTAAGCGTAACTTACGCCGACCAATCATATCATTTCACTTGAACATCAGTTTCTGTCTAGTCACTTTATGCTTTTTACGCTATTTTGTTGTTACGCCGAAACATGATAGAACCACCATGCGTCGAATCTAATTTCTGGCTCATTTTACGAAAACCAATCGTTAATTCATTTAGCATTTCTGTTAGAGTGTACAACAGAAATTCTAATCAGCAATTGGTTGCATTAGGGCCTGCGCACAATAGAGGAACAAGAATTAGATATTAAGATTTCAATCTATCAGAAATCGTGTATTCCGATGTAATCAGTTTCTGATAGGTTGAAATCTTAATATCTAATTCCTGTTCCTCTATTGTGCGCAGGCCCTTAGTTTCGCATTTCTCTAATCTTCCGCGAAATACTCTCAATGTGAATGCGGGCTTTCAGAATGGCGTATTCTAGTAAATAAAAAGTAACGTATTCTAGTAAATTACTAGAATACGCAGGTTACGCTTAGGGTGGAGTCCCATGAAGCGTATTTGCCGCGTATCGCGTAACCGCGTAACCAATCAATAATCAGTAAAACGCGAAATCACAATAGCGGATCGCTTCTGATTGGTTAAGCGGTTACGCGATACGCGGCAAATACGCTTCATGGGACTCCACCCTTACGCAGGTTACGGCACCCTAAACGTAGGGAAGGCTCCGATTGCACACATTGCATGTTGCAAACATGCGTCGCTAAATGGCTAATTTAAAAATAAAATATTCTCATTGGTAAAGCATTGAAAAATTACTAGGCACCAGCTGATATGAGTGGTGTGTGCAATCGGGATTGTAGGTAAACGGGATCCTCCCGCGATCCGTGTGTCAAAATGGTCGATAAGGATGAGAGAGAGGGACCATGGCAGATCGCCATTTCTTTCTCTTTCCATTCAATGGTGTAATGGGAGAGAGAATGAGACGGAAATTGGCCGTCTCCCACGGTCCCTCTCTCTCATTATTGGCCGCGTTCAGCAGACTCAACTGTTGTGGAGCGGATCCGTGAGCGCTCGCTGCTATTGGATGATCTAGAAGAATACACCAATAGCAGCGAGCGATCACCATCGACATCTAGAATGGACCGCTGATGGCAATGGTGGGGGTAGAAAGACGATTAGAGTGAGAGGCAGGAATAATAAGATCGTTCTTTTTCTGTTTACTGAAGCCTGGTTGGTTGTTGTTAATCCAACAACCAATCAGGCTAGTTAGAAACAACAGTAAAACAGAGAAAGAACGATCTTATTATTCCTGCCTCTCACTCTAATCGTCTTTCTACCCCCACCATTGCCATCAGCGGTCCATTCTAGATGTCGATGGCGTTCACGGATCCGCTCCACAACAGTTGAGTCTGCTGAACGCGACCATTGTCGACTACGTTTAATACATTACTTATAGCGTTTTCGATTGGGGTGCACTGGCTGCACTCAGTGTCAAGAGCGTGTTCGATTGGTAGTGCCAATGAGCACTTGGCTAGTGTTACGTGTTCATTTGATCGCACGACACTCGCGTAGTGCGCACTCAGTGCGCACTCAGTTCACACCAACACTGGACACTTTTGCCCAATCGAAAACGCTATTAGATACGGATCGCGCAGTCCATTCTCTATGTTTTTGGATACACCTAGGCCGGTATTCATAGTCAGATCTTATATTCAAGATTGTCTTAAGGACGGTCTTAAGAAGTTACGAACCAATCAGAGGGCTGCATTAGCGTCTTAAGACATTACTTAAGACGGTCTTGAAATAAAAATCGACTATGAATACCGGCCCTAGAGACCCTCTAATCAGAGTCGCGATACGAGAACAGCCAATTTTGATTGGTTCGTCATTTTTCAGTAATTCCCGCCAATATTCGAATGTCAATATTGGCTGCGTTCGGGAACGTCTTTCGGATGCCTCGGATTCATCATCTGTCCTTATTTAACATTTAATGTTAAACAAGGACGGATGATAAATCCGAGGCATCGGAAGCATCCGAGCGACGTTTCCGAACGTAGCCATTGTAGGAATAGGCAATGTGCGTATCGATACGTTAAAAATCGTTCGCAAACTAATCTATTTTGTAAAGAATCAATTTTTCCAACCAAAACAAGCATAGAATGACAGAAATAGCGTTAATAGCATCTCCCTGAACGGGTGGCACCCAATTGGACACGGCTCAATTGGACACGAACCATTCACAGCACTTGAGACTACAAACCTCCTATGCACCGGTCGCTGTGATTGGTGATGTCCAATCGAGCCGTGATCAATCGGGATCACCCCTCCCTGAACGCACATTTTTTCCAACATTTGTCGCCTATAATGCTCGACGTTCAACATTACGAGGAAATATTTTCATTATGTAGCCTTTGGCTGCAGAATTATTGCAAAATGGGGCTGCACACCCAACCATTTTGCAATAATTTTTAATAATGTTCTAAAAGTCGTACTATAGAAAGACGTATCTTACGGGATCATGACTCACACAAGAACTATGAAGGTTAGAAAGAGACACAACATATTCCTCTCTTTTTCTTGTATTTTGCTGAAACTAGAGACTGAAGCTGGAAACACAATAAGCACCGGCAACAGGGAATAACGAGCCGTCCAATCAGAGCTCTGGGATATAATATCGAACTTATACCCAAAGCTCTGATTGGATGGCTCGTTATTCCCTGTTGCCTGTGCCTATTGTCTGTGTCTATTGTGTTTCCAGCTTTAAGCGGGGAGCACAGCTCTTGCATAACGCATAATACATGAGGCATAAGAAATTGAACCAACCAGAGTTCTCTGTTACATGGAAGGGAAAGAAACTGAGAACTTCGATTGGTACATATTCTTATGCATTACGTGTTATGCGTTATGCAAGAGTCT